TATACTAGTATTAGTGTAGTCTTCTGCCAATTTTTTATATAATAATTACGCAGAAGACTACACTTTTTTGTTGTATATCAGATTACCTTCTTTTACGATTTGTTGACTAAAATTGCTATACATCTCTTTTGCATTCATCAAAAAAAATTATACATTTCAGAAATATATTGTGATATAATAACTTTACCTACTGTTAACATGCGTACCTCAACTATTTTTAACTAAGCTGATTGCACTAGAACCAGCACAATGCTCGCCCGCTACGACGGTGTCGAGTCTTTAGCCAGTGTTCCATCATGTAATGAGATCATAGCAGAATATGAAAATGGGAGAACTGCTATACTTCAACAAAGCCTATCTGACAAGCAACCCATACATTTCATGCCTACTGAAGTTAGTGATGATACCAAATATATAAAAGGTGTCTCCTCCTATATTTTGCGCATTGCTGGTACTTTAATTAATGGACAAAAAGCAATCGTAAATATTACAGGCATTAAACCTTTCTTTGATGTCGTAGTACCTGAAGAGATGCAACTATCTATGTTTAAGACCAAATTAGTGAGAATATTATCTAATACCCTTGGAGGTATATCAAAATTTGGGATCGAACATATTAGCGCTTTTCCACTTCAAGGATACCATACAGAAAAGAAACCATATATCCGTGTGAGAACATGGAATCACTATGACCGAAACAATGCATTAAAAGCAATTCGTGCTGTTGGAATGTGTACAGCCTCGGATGATCTAAACTGCCAGTACTATTATCGCAAAGTAGCCCGTGAAGAGAGATTATCTCTTTCAAGCTGGGCTATATTGAGTAATTATTTATACGAACACATTCAGGGGGGTACTGATCTCTTCCGAGTATCCATGAATAATTACAACCCAATAAGCGATAACGAGTATAATAATTCATTATTTTCCTCAGCGCTTTCACGGGATCGCACTCTTGTTCTCACGTGGGATATCGAGACATATAGCTCATGAAAAACAGGTGAGGTGCCTAATGCAAAATACGAAGAAGACGTTGTGTTCATGATTTGTATGACAGTTCATTGGAAAGATGATCCCAAACCGTTAAAACAAATCTGTCTTGTCGATGTTGAAACTGCGCCAGACCCACGCTTGATCACAGTTGTATGTGGGAACCAAACTAATCTACTGAAAGCATTTGCATTATGTTGGAAATGTTTAGCTCCGGATATACATATAGGTTTTAATGATTCACAATATGACTGGCCATTTATTGTGGAGAAGGCGAAAAAGTTAGGCGTTCTCGAATGGATGTTCAATCATATGTCACTAAAACCTATGAGACTCGAAAAGATTACAAAATGGCAATATCAATATAATATGATAAAAGTAAATGATGGGAACTTCTATTTGAGACATCTTAAAATTCCTGGATGCGTGGCTATTGATATCTGACCCTGTTTTAAGAAATTCTACCCTAAAGCTGAAAAAAGTAGTCTAGCATATTACTTAAAGGAGTGTAACCTTGATAACAAAGTGGATTTGCCTATTCACCACATGAACAAATATTATGAGATGGCATTGAAGGAAACAAATGCCATAACGGCCATAAAATAGCCGAGTATTGTATCATTGATGCTCTTAGTTGCCAGTGGTTAATGATTAAGCACAATATAATTAATGAGTACAGGGAGGTTGCGAGCATAGCATTTATATCATTATTTGATACGCATTATTTTGCAATAGGAATGAAAGTGAGCAATCTTTTAAGTGCTAATGCATGGCGGGAAGGAATTTTAACCAGTACAATTTCAGAGCGAATGGAGACAGAGTCATTCCCGGGTGTCTACGTCTTCCCACAATAAAGGGCTTGAAAATAAACTCCTGTAACCGGCTTAGACTTTGCATCATTATATCCGAGTCTCATTATGACTTACAACCTCTCACCTGATAAAATTATTTTATCTCGAAAACGTGCTGAGTCTCTGAGAGATAGTGGCAAAAGCCTTCATAAAATTAATTTCA